AACCAAATGTTTAAAGTGTCAAAATAGCTATCAATTAAGTCCTCTAAATTTACTTCCAGATTATTGGGCTTGACTTTGCTAAATAAACTTTTTTATAATACTTTAATATACAGAGATGATCATTTTATTTTTTTCTTTTTACTTTATTAACTATTATTATATTTCTAATATTTCTAATATAAATTTTAGAGCCTTGAGAATCTGCTAATTATTAAAGACATCAAGAAACTTTTAACTTATTATATTTAAAGCTTTTTTATGCTACTATGTAGTAAAAGTTATAAAAAGTAGTGTGTATTTTTTATTTAAGCACTTTATATTCAGGCATTCAAGAACAAAACGGCTCCTTTTTCAGTATTAGAGGCATAACTTTTTTTAAAAAAATTTTTTTCCTATCTGCTTCTTCAAAGTTTGTTGTAAATTTTTCTTTGTAAAATTTGTCAGATTCTTTATTACATCTTTAGAGAATTTATACTATTATTATTATAAGTATATAAGATAGAAGTAAAGTTAACTTATATTTGTTAGATAAGTGCTCTTATCTGTATAGTTAGATTTTCAATAGTAGAAGACTAGGTGGGCTAGCTAAATAGATTATATGTTAGGGCTAAATTAAATAGTTGAGCCATGCTTTTTTTGTTTAGTCATAGATATTACTGAAAAGCTGAAGAAAAAGTGTAAGACAATTAAAAACTAATATTATAATATTTACTTATTCATTCTATATAATTAGTATCAAATGTAATCATTAATAAGAGAGCTTATAAAATAATATAGAATAAAGAACTAATTTAACTTCAACAGTATATAAAAGATGATTATAAACTTGGAGAAATGAAAAGAGTTATTTATACTATTAGAAGTCTATTAGACAATATAATACTATAAAATAAAGAATTGAATATTAAGGGGGTAATAATAGACAATGCAAATATATATAATACTAATAGAGATTTTTTAACTAGAATAGTAAAATAAAAGTTAACAATAATCATGTGATGTTGATGATAACTTTAAGATCATATAATTGATGAGCAAGGTCAAATAACCAATCAAAATATTATTCTCTACCACAATTCTCACAAGTCACTAATATAAATAGCAATATCTAATTTTGCAACTATTTAGAATCTGAGTTTTAATAAGCCAAATCGAAGTCACAAGTTAATTTAGTCTATTAAATTGAGCCTCAAAAGGGTTTATTAAAATTACAAGTTGAATTCAAAAACAAAGCTCAAAGAAAAATTTAAATAAGTATATATTTTATTATTTTGTGATAATTAAAGTAGATATGAATTACTGTCTTTTTATTTATTGAATATATAGTCTTTATATATATTTTATTTTTCTATAATGTAGATATCAAAATTTCAAGGTTTACATCTAAATTTCAAAATTTATGTGAAAATTTGAAGGTATATTTCAAAGATTTCAGGACATGATTCTGGTATAACTATATATATACAGATTTTTTAATATTGATATGATTTATCTATTTTCTTTGCTACTAAGCCACTTATTATTACTATTTTATTATAAGTTATAAGAAAATTAATCAATATACTAAAATTGGATATTGTTATCAGAATGGATGAAGAATTACTAATAAACTATATATATGTAGCAAAGTTACTAACTAAAATATGAATTTAGAACAAAAATAAAAAAACTAAAAATTTAATTTATTATACTATAATTGGCTATAATTAATCAATATATAAAGTATTTAAAACATAAACAGATTAATACAGATTAGCCTAAAAATATAAAAAATCCCAAAATATAATATTTAAAAATATAAACAAATCAATATAGATTAGTCTAAAAATATGAAAGATCCTATAAATATAATATTTAAATAGCCTGATATTATGTATAGCTAGCTAGTTAGCTAAGCTACTATAGTTAACTATTATTGACTATAGCTATAGCAGATCAGCTGGCTTAAAGCTTTCTTGTTAGAGTTAGTTTAAATTAGTATTGTATATTAATAAACTAATTTTTATAGATACTAGTATGTAGCTTTGAGTTATTTGTATAATACATACTTTTGATTGGTGGAGCTAGATATATGACTAGACCAGATTTTGTTATATTTAGTCTAATTTTCAAAATATTGACTCCAGTCAACTTATATTATAGCTATTCAAAGTTGATTATTTGGTAATATCATCCTCCTTTCATTTAACTATTTCTTCAAAATTAAAAAAACAAATTACAGTACATCTTTTAATTATGTAATTAAGGTTGACTAATAAGATTAAATCAAATATTCTTAATGAACATATATGTTTTTTTAATTCCTCTGGCCTGAGCTCAAAATATTAATATCATCTAATTAGAAATAGGTTTAATTACAAATAGTTATGATTATTATTATTTATAGTCAATTTTCTAAATACTGAGATAATTTTTATTATTAAGTTTTTAATTAAAATTGTCTAGAATTATATTCTGTTTATCCCATCTTATATATAAAAAGAATAATATCTTTTTTGAAACCCTGAATTTTAAAATATGTTAATATATAACTAGTATAAAATTGTAAGTTGTATTAGAAAAATTATTGGGTCAAAAATAGAACAACTCACTACAATATTAATATTAACTAAACTATTCAAACTAGAATACTATAATAACCAAACTCAAATAATAGTAAAGCAATGATTGAGATATGAAAAAACTTGGTATGAGTAATTAGAATTATTTAAATTTTTAGTAATAGTGCCAGATTTAGATATATATCTTTTTATTTTCATTTGGTGAATTAGTCATTGTTTCTACTACTTTATTGATACTTAACTTCTTTTATTAGTAGGTACTGTGGCTAGATCTTGTAATTAAAATTGACTCAAAAAGTAGTACAAGATTACAGTATTATAGATTTACAAATTAGAAATAATGATATTAATCACAAACTTAATTAGAAGCAATTTTAATATATAAAGACTTGTATTACTAATATAATCTCTTTTTTTCTAAATATATCAATAAAATACAAAAAAATACTTTATCTAGTATATAGAATCAATATACTCTATCTGCTCAATATACATGGTATATATAGCATATATAGCATATCTAATATATATGATACATATGGTAAATATGACCAGAACCAATTTTGAACAAACTAACTCAAGTGATCTTAGTATTGATTTATACTTTTAAACTGGTCAATGATAATAACAATGAATGGTAATCAATAACTAGTCATAATATTAATAAATTTTGAAATCTAGATTCTAGAAAAGGTATCATTCTTTCTACTTATAAGATAAGATAAATAGAATTTAATTCTGAACAACTTTAAAAGCTTAAAAATAAAAAATCAACTCAGTATTTAAAAAATTAACTATAAATAATTGTGACCATTTGTAACCGAACTCATCTCTATACCCAACTAATCAATATTAAATAGCCTAATTAAAATTTTGATCAAATAATTCTAAATAATTAATTCAAATTCAAATTTTGATTCAATTTTTGAGAAGTACTAGTCATCTTGTGTTTCCACATACAAAATCATCCAAATTAGACTATCAAAAAAAGTAAATACTAATATTATAACAAACAATTATGCTTTTAACACATGAGATTAAAGCTATTTGAGCACTTTTGAAAGTATTTCAGTATGGGTTTTTAAAGCTATTTACATAAATTCCAGAACAAAATAAAAATTTGCTTAATACTCTAAATTTTCTATAATTTATTTACCTTATACTACTGACTAAAGTATTTAGTATAACAAATAATATAGATCAATTTTATAAAATATCATTTATATATAGCATATAATATAAACAATTGTGTTATACACATGATTTTTAATTTTTTACTATATAAAAAATCATACTTTATTCAGTGGTATACAGTAACTACTGAAAGATTCAGATAATGAGCAAATGTTTTTAATTTTTCAAGAATTTATGCAAATAGTATAATGTAAGTTGTTAAAATATTTTGATAATAATACTAAAATACTTTGCAAATTTGTAATAATTTCTATGTCATATATGTATCTGAAGACTTTCTCAGAGCAATATTTTTATACTGCTATCAATTGAAAACTATTCCTAGTGTGTCAACAAATACTAAGTAAATTTTTACTATCATGTGTTGATTGACAGAAGTTGGCCAATAATGAATACTAGTTAGTATAATATTATATGATCAGAAAAATTCAAAACAGTTTACAAATAAAACTCTATTATAATGAATCCAAGTAGTTGATATTGGTTTAAATGACCAGAAACTCTATAAAATTTTTGACGATAAATGCAAGTAACGTATTCTATCAGAAGATCTATAATATTTATTTTAAAGAAATTGTTTATTTTTTAAAAATTGGCATAAGAAAACACCTTTTATACACTAATAAAAAGTTTTCTTTAAAAAATTTTACTACTAGAACTACTAAATTCTAACTTCTTTATAGTTTCTAATCTAAATATTAATGAATTTTAAAAAATTTTGTTGGTTATTATATGATAGTAAAATTTTGTTGTTGCACTTGGTAAGATATCAATCAAGAGCATAGTCACATAATCTTAAGAACAAATATTTTTTTGGTTTTATTTTATTTTTTTTTTAGAACTTTATTAATTAGTTTTTTTAGAGTTTTAATTCAGATAATCTGTAATCTATTTATCTATATTTGAATTTATCTGAATATCCCTTGAAATCCAAATAATCTGACAAATAAACTTCACATGCTCAGATAGACAATATCATGTGTGTTAAGCCTATTTTATTATTAGCTAGCCAATCTTTGTAGTACAAATCATATAGATAAGGTAATTATATATTAATATTTATATATTTTTTTGTATATATATGTCTAATAGCACTATTTGTACTCTCTTTAGACTATTTTATTTTGGCTGCCATTTGTCCTTAATAATACTCTCACTATGAGTAATGATTCTCAAATATGCATCAATAATAAGATAGCATATTTGGTTCAAATCAACTCATTCAAGATAACAAAGCTAACTATAATGTCCAAGTTACCTAGTACATTAATAATGATCAAACTTCACATTTCAAAAATGATATTTAAACTGTACAGAATGATTATAAAATTTGAGACACCAATGAAAGATTTGCAGAAAATAACTTTTTTGAGAGTCTAGAACCTAGTGAACTAGATTATGAGTCTAGACACAATGAATTTATCATATCATCTTTGTGGCTCACTGCTGTGAAATGATATGTCCTTAGTTCAAATTCATAAAGTGTACTTACCAAGTTACAATACACTGATATTCTCAATAATGAATCTAGAAACATGAATATCAAATACAACCCTTCAATTAAAGACAGACACATATAGAAACTACTATCTAGTAATACTAAAGCAACAAATAAAATACTAGCAAATGTTTTATATAGAATATCAGCAGCCCTACACCTGTTAGATAATGTACTTAAGGCAGTATATACCTCTAAGCCACTACAAACAGATCAAGATACTCATCAAACATGGGCTCTTATTAAAGGTTCACTTAAGAATTCAAGAGCCTTATTGCTTGATTCATATTGTATATCAACTAGGTTAAAAGAGATCAAGCTATTAGAACAATATCTCATTCTATAACCTACAGCAGAAGTAACAAGGTGTTTAATCAATACCTCAAAGCACTTATTGAAAAGGAAAATGCCACAAATAAGTTTATCTTAGAGGCTCTTAGAAACAAGAGTTGTGCCTCAAGAAGAAGAAGCAACACCAGTTACAATAATAGGCAAACTCCTTTTCACCCAAACTTTAGACAAACCAAAACAGACATAAGAATTATTGGTTTTACAAACATGATAGAAATAATCAGAAAAATGTACAAAGAGGTAGCTCTATATCTCAGGAGGATCGCTTCTCTCAGGATAAATATTAAAAAAATCATAAATTGCTAAAAGACTTGCATGTTATGTTTAAGAGTGAAGAAATATTTTTGACATTTCTTGGGTATCAAACATTTTACAATACAGATATACCCAGAATAGACAAGATTACTACTACTAAGACAACAAATAATAAAACCTACAATAACACAGTATCAATTAACAATCATTTCAGAAATCAAAGACTTATTACAAAAAGAGGCTATAGTAAAGATAACAGAAGATACTTCATGTTTCATTTCACAAATTTTCGCAATCCCCAAGAAATCAGAAAAAAATTAGATCGTAATAGATCTAAGATTATTCAACAAGTATATATATTATATTTACTTTAAGATAAAGACAATAGAACATACTAAAGCATTGATAAAAAGGGCTGATTACTTTATCTCTATCAATATCACAGATGTATTCTTGTATATACCTTTATTACAGCAAGTACAGGTTTACTTTATCTTCAATTTTATGAACTAAAGATACCAGTATATTTGTTTATCTTTTGGGCTAACCAGCAGCCTCATGATTTTTACAAAAATTCTCAAGCAAGTAGTTGCATGTGCCAGAGCAAGAGGTATAAAACTGATTACTTTTCTTAATGATTTTCTAATCTGTGCCAGAACAAAGAAGAATTAATATAGCATACAAACAAAGTAATCTAGATGTTGATATCATTAGGATTCATCATAAACTCATAAAAATCAAAAATCACACTATCTCAAATAATTGAATATCTAGATTTTATGATAAATTCAAAGTTAATTACAATGCAACTACCCAAGCACAAGATAAAAGAAATTAAAAAAGATTGCAGATCAGCTCTTAGCATTCTATCAATATATATAAGTAAGCTAGCAGCAATAATTGGCAGGCTCTTAGCCACTATTAGAGCAATATTTTTAGCCTGATTGATAACTAGGCACTATTAAGAGACAAAAACCATGTACTAAAAATGAAGAGCTGGTATACTTTTCTTATATTCTCTCAGGAAAGCCTATATCAACTTTAGTAGTGGACAAAAAACATAAAAAAGTGAAATAGCATTAGCATAATTTCAGACATCTCAATAATGGTGATATATATTAATATATTCACATAAGGATAGAAAGTAGTCCAAGAAACTTGGCTTCTTTATAGTCACTAAAACTTTCATCAAAGACAGCTACATATCAATATTCTAAAGCTCATAGCAATACATTATGCACTATTAGCACTCAAAGATCTGAAGGATTGATCTATAATAATAAAAACAGACAATTCAACTTGTATGATATACTTAAACTACCAAGAAGAGATGGTATCAAAAAAATTAAGCAAACTAGCAGAAAAGATATAGAGGCTATATCTTTTTCAAAACTTGAAATTGATAGCCCAACACATCCTGAGCAAACAGAATATTTTGGCAGACCAGGCATTAAGGAGAACTCTCAATCACTATGATTGGATAATAAAACCACAAATCTTCTCAAAGATACAAGAAATTTAGGGCCTCTTTTAAGTGAATCTGTTTGCAAACAGAATAAATACACTCCTTTTGAATTACTTTTCCAGACTCCCAAACTCATATTATCTAGCAGTTAATACACTGGCTTAAGACTGGTTAATGATAAAAGGATAGGCCAACTCACTATAGATCATAATACACAAAATACTTATCAAAGTAATCAAGAAGCAAGCAACAATTACCATAATGATCTCATACTGGACAACTACCTCATGGTTTTTAGTTTTACTAGATCTTTTAATAAACACCAATTTTTTGGTCAGACAAATGACTGTTTATAGCAGAGAAAATGAGTCACTAGCACTCAATTAAAAATTCAGGATAGAAAATATTCATTTGTCTTATCTTAAAGAAAGCCTCAATAATGAAGACATTTCACAGAAGGCTATTAAACTAGTGAAAAAAACAACCCAAAAATTCTCAAATAGCACTGTTGGCTTAGCTCTTAAAAGATATACTATTTGGTATAAGGAAGCATCAGTAGATCTCATTCAATATTCTATAACAAATATTTCAAATTTTTTAGTTAAAATGAGTGATGAAGGTTTATTGTACAATACAATTGCCTTATATCATTCAGCTATTAGTGAGGTCTATGATTTAATTGATAGTTTAAGAGTTGGTTATCACCCCTCTATAGCTAAAATTATATTATCAATTTATAAGAATAATTCTTCTCCTCCGCCACCAGAAGATGCTATCAATATAATTCTTGTACTTGAATATATTACATTGTTGGACACAAATAAAGAAATGTTAATGATAAATCTATTAAGAAAAACAGCCTTTTTACTTGCAATTACATCAGCCACAAGACATAGTAACCTTTAACAAATATCTCTCAATTCAATGAGCACCACTGAAAACAGATTCTTATTTAAGATCAGGAACCCAAAGGAACACAAGATTTCAATTGCACATGAAGAGAAGAAACAGAGATATAAGTCTATATTAGTTGAATACTATACAAATGAATTTTTTTTATGCCTAGCTTCAGCTGTTCTTACACTATTAAGACACTCAAAAAAATGGAGGTCTGATGAAGCTAAAAAGAATACCTTATTCCTAACTTCAACTCTACCACACAATTCTGCCTCAGTTGACACAATCTTTAACTGGCTCAAGAACATTCTTACATATGCAGACTCTAATACCAAAGCCAAAGATTTAAGAGCAATTTTATCTTTTCTAGCTCAGGAATCTGGGGCGAATGTAGATACTATTTTGTCACTTGGGAATTGGTCTTTCTATGAAGTTTACTACAAGTTCTATCAAAGAGGCATTATGAAAGCTCTTGAAAAGAATCACATCTCAAATAAAATTCTAAATCAAGCAAGAAGCAAATGATACTCCACAAGTCACATGTGATATTGTCTATCTGAGCATGCAAAGTTCATTTCAACCAATAGTCGAGTGTAACAAAGATCATTGGAAAATAGACGAGCATTGCAAAGATAGACAATATCTCGCCAAACCCTCCCAATCAAACTTGCTTAAGAAATTCTTCACATTATTTTCTTTTACCCTCCTATTATATCTATATTGTCATAAAATGGCCTAATGAGAGTAGAGATAGTGCTATTAGACATATATATACAAAAAAAAAATGTAAAAATGTTAATATGTAATTACCTTATGCACATGATTTGTACTACAAAGGTTGGCCAGCTATTAATAAAATAGGCCTAACACATGTGATATTGTCTATCTTCACAGTGCTCCAATGATTTTTGTTACACTCGACCATTGGTCAAAATATTTGGATAATTATCCATATATCAATAATAAAACAGATATCTGAATAAATTCAGATCTGGATATTCAATAGATAAATGTATTAACAGATAATGGATAGGAACTCTAAGTTTTTTTAAAGAAACGAAACCACTAATCTAAATAAATTATAGCAAAGAATGGATCAAATATAGTAAAAGGAAACCTACTCTCAATAAATTAATTAGAAACAAATTTAGTAATAGTAATCTCCTATACTTTATTTGATCCCAGCAAATTATTAGTTGTTTTTCTCTGTTTCATATTCTTTATTTTTGTAAAATAATGCGGATAAATAAATTTTATACTTTATTTGTACAATTTTGTTTACAGATCAACATTCATTATGAATATCCATAAAGAAAAAGAATATATTTTATGTCAATATGATGAGTATGATGGGGTTTCAAAAAGCAATAATTTTGCACAATAAATTGTTTATAACCATTTTTGTTATAGTATGTAAAATTTAAAAAATAGTGTAGTTTTAGTACAAATTGTCATTTATGGTGTAGAGATGCAATTATATTAATCGAAAGGTCATATGACTATCTGCTATGCCTTCAATTAGCGCAGATTCTACAGATGGTTCTTATGGACAGTAATGTATGTGATATATAATGTTAAAATCCACCAACCTTAAAATAAATCCTAAATACCTGCACTGTCCATACTGTCTCTTAGATGATCTGCCATCTCCGAAAATTATCATTAGCAAAGCATCATTTTGTATAATGTAACTCGATCATACAGATGTTGATATGATTTAATGATTTTCAGGTTATGTCAAAGGGATTTGAATGGTTGGTAATCACGAAACCAAGAAATTTTTTGCCATAGCCAACCAACCTTTGACTTTTCAAAAATTTGCTAAGAAACTACCTTTCGTTTTCTAGCGAAAAGTTTTCCTTATGTAATTTTATTACATATTGCTAATTTTTAATAACCAATTTAAAGAAAATTTTATGATTATACTGGTAACTCTGAATTTTATTTAATATCTGTTAGCATAATTATTAATTTTCAAAAATTTTGGACAATTCTACGATGTTAGGGTTAGAGTTTTCTTTATTTTTCGGGGGTTTCGTTTCACTAGAAGATTTCGGGTTTCATTCTTTTCGGGCTTAAGTTCATCATTACCAATTACATAAATGAATTCAATTAACTATACAACTACGTATACTCCAGACCTTAACCATTCCCTCTCCAAGCTTATTAATCAGCATTACAAAATTCATTGAAATAACACTTTAAATTACATTTTAAAATTCCTTTTTGATTTATTTATTTCAATTTGGAATTCATTTTATAAACAAAAAACCAAGGCACACAAAGCTAATGTTTCGTATTGCATAACATGGATGGTCGGTTGGTTAGTTTTTTTTTAATTCAAAATTAATAGACTCATTTTCATAAGCTTTTGTGTAGCGGGAGTCTTTAACTACTGAGGCTTTCTTGAAACAGCAAAATGCACTTAAGCATTTTACTTGTTCAAATATTATAGCTACAATTCCTATGATCTAAAATTTCAGGTTCAATCCTAATTTACTACGTAAATTATCATATCCCCGACAAAGTTTTGTATTCATTGATTGTCTACCGTCATTCTTTTCTGAATTAGACATGAGTAGCATAGCGGGCTTTATTATGATTGGCTGATTTTTGAAGATCATCTCATCATAATTAAAGTAACGATTTCCTATCACAAGAGTGCACAAAAATGAATTCGGGACCACGAGTACGAATTCGGGAAGGTTATGATATAAAAATTTAGAAACTACACCTTCGGCTCTACAACATACCAAAGTAATTTGGTAATTGACGAGGTAATTCGGAAGTTAGATGAGAGGTATGTTTAGGCGTTTCGATTTAACCAATATAAGTTTCAATGTATTAAATTTGGTAAATATAAGTCATTTCAAAAGGTCTACAACGCTAATCTATTTTATTTATAAGTTATTTATTTTTCCAAAGACAGGCAGTATTACGAGTAAATAGATTAGTGACATGAAGTAATGAAAAAAGCATGAGCTTGCGAACTTTATGAGAGGTTGAAATATAGTGTCCGTCTAAGATTATTAAAGCATAGTGTTTTACGTCAACGATTATTAATTAGAATTATGGCTAAATCCGTTTGGCATTAACTAACTGTTATTATATATACTTAAAAATTATTTATAGTTTTTATTGTTTCTCAAAATAAATGATTCTTATCTTTTATCGGTTTTCATGCTTTTTTATAAATTTTTTTTTTTAAAAAATTCGTGTAATAGTTTTTTTTTTTTAAACAAAAAATAAGATCTTGTATTGGGATAATGGTTTTAGGCTTTGAATTGATAGATTTCGTAGCAATGCGTTTATTATTGTCAATTTAATTTTATACAGTATTAATAAATATATACTTAATTATTAATTATATCAGATATAACGATAAATTTGTCTTGCGAATAATTTCGATTAACCAATGATATTTGTGCAATATCTACAAAAATCAGCTAATTACAATGAAAGCCCGCTATGCTGACATGAGTAATTCCTATATATTTTTAAATGAGTATCTATTTTTTTAGTATGTTTAAAGAACCATTAAAATAAATTTTATCCTTATTTAAACAAAATTGTAGTAAAAAAAAAATGATTTTAAAATTTTGGGCCGGCGAGTAATGTATAACGAAAAATTAACTTGAATAGTCTAATCATGAATTAGGTTTCAATAAAAAAATCTAATTCTGCAGACAAGTTAAATTATTGATTCAGTATTGATCGTCGGAAAATTTGAATGTAATTTATTAGTATCATAGGCTGAAACTTTGATGAAACATGAATCGCCAAGGATTTTCTGATAACGTATGATCGTGATGCTTTTTGTGGCGATCATTGCGAAGAGAAATAATATTATTCTAACGATTCCAAAATAAAAAATAAACATATATAAACTCTTTTTTTTTTTTTTTTTACATCAGAACGGTTTTTATAATTATAACCAACATCATCATACTACAACGTTATATATTGAGGAACGATAATTTCTATGAAATTCCAAGTCGTTATTCTTACAATCTTAATCACATGTTGCCTGGTAGCTAACATAGCTGATAGTAAAAAGAATAACAAAGGTGAAGAAGATAATATTGTTGAACATCGATAAAAAACGTATGATACTTATTTATATTAATATGTTAGCTAATATAGTAATATAGAATTCTTTCATTTCTACTTTGAAATCGGGTATATGTCATGGTTATGTAACGGATTGTAAAAGTCACACAATGTTTGATAGAGGTGTAAAATATTGTACTGGTCGTTGTTTGGTGTCGAAACGTGACAATATCCCAAACAAAAATCCATATTGTCCTCATATGGTGGTTCGCATGAAGAACCGTACTAACGAAGAAACTATCTCAAGGGTCAATAAAAGTGACTGTTTCGAAGTTAGTGGTAATGTTATACATCACTTTGGAATTCCTGTTAATCTCGAATTGGCATAAGTCACTTTGGAATCATAATTTGACGTATATTATATCATGATCGGTATGTCGACAACGATTACAATACCGAATAAAAAAAATAAAACTAAAAAAAAATAAAAAGATAAAAAAATAAAATAAAAATAAAAATAAAAATGTAAAAAATAAGCATGACGCACGATATTTTTTATTTGAATATTTATTCCAGCGCTACATGGTTAATAACATTCTTTTTAATAGTTTACGGTGAAATTAAGCAAACTCAATTTACAATAATAAATTCTATCTATAACGACAATAAACTGCCAGTAATTCTAAGTTCATATTAATGTTAATGATCGTTGCATTCACCTCTCAACACAGTTGCAATGCCTAGTACAAAGCAAATTATTCTTACGGCACGAACAGCTCTTGGTCATACAGTTTGTTTTCCTGCAAAGCAGTGGTTGCGTTGTGTTTCTTGCTTGTCCAGTTTCTTCTTGAATTATTGAATCATTTTTAACTGTATGTTAGAGTTGGTCACCGAAACCTTTTTTGCCAAATCCAAAAGTTTCGGATTTCGGATTATAGTTTCTGAAACCTCATCCGAAACTCAAAGCCTCACCCGAAACCCGAAACCCTATCTGAAACTCCGAAACCCGAAACCTCAAAACTCCAAAACTTTATGATTGAAAAAATTTAGAATGCTTATCGATTCGAAAAATTGTCAAATATTTAGGTATTAGCAACTCTTCTATAAGCCGGTTTTCCATTTTTCAAAGATGTGGATGTATTGAAAAGCTTTCGCAACACTTTATCGATTTTTTAGGATCTTACATTTAAACCAGTTGACGAATTCTTGATCATATCTCTAACTTTTTTTAATATTAGCACCTATTCATGTTTATTATGAAAGTCTATTTTATATCTGGAGCCTTTTTTATATTTTTTTGTCAAGATTTATTTGTTAATAAAAACTCCTTTCCCATAAACTTTCGCACAAATTAAACATACCAAATATGCTAAACAAGTATTCAAATGAAGGATGTTCTATAGAATAGGTGGGCAAACTCCGCAAACTCCGCAACTCCGCTATTAAAAAATTAATGATTACTAATCATTAGCAAAGCTTATTTTTTATATTGCCCACCTATTCTATAGAATATCCCTTTGGTGCTGCAGCATTTCTCAGAGAGATGAAAGCACCAAGAGGATAATGTCAAGTGCAGGATATTCATTAGTACCCAATGGTCAATTCAAAACTTGCTCACGTTGAATTTTCACTTGAATAACTTGTTTGGGTTAAATTTTCACTTGATGAAGAACTTGCTTGAGATGCAATTGGTATATCACTCAGTGGTATTTTTTCACATAATGTGTCCTTATTGCGGGTACCCATTTGTTTGCATGTTGTGTAATACATACATTGCATTGTTTCATCACATTTTCAACAAATGTTTGAGGAATAAAACAGTATCTTTGACGAATCTATATATTATATCAATTATATATTATTTAGCAAGTTTTATTTTTTCTTTAATTATTAAATAAAATACTTACTTTCAACCACGTTTTTCTTAATCACCGTGCTCTGTATCCTGATGAGCCTGACGGATCACAACATAAAAATCTTCAATACCATGATCATGATTTTCTGTTTTAAGATTTAATTCCTCAATCATCCCAACTTTTTACTATCGTAAATGTATGAAGAACCCAAAATTTAAATTTTGGATTTTCATGTGTACTTGAAGGATTTCGTAAGAGAGTCAAGCAACGATTATATTTTAAACGATTCATTATATGCCATTCATTTTTACGATTACTTATATAGCCATTAACTATTTTTTCAAAGGTTTGAGGCGAAATATATGGATAAACTCGTAAATTGTTTGAAATCATGTTAAGATAAAGATATTGAAATAGAAAAAAAATTAGATTTTTCTTTATACATTTTTTTAATCTTATTGTTTATGCAATTTAAAAGTTTATTTTATTAGAGTCTTAGTTTTTTACTTTCCGCTTTTCTGTTTATATGAATGCTGTCAAGGGAAAACATGTCATCGTTCATTCAATTATATTTTGCATTGGACTCAATCTATTTGATTTATTATTGATTGTATCCGGTACAATTTAAAATTGAAAGCCCGATGGCAGGTTTTCTTTTGACAGTACTCATAACATGTTCGTACGTATCAGTATGTGATTAATTTGACGTACGTCATATTCTGATCAGTATAAATCTTAAAGTAACACATGTTATTCCAAGACCGACGTAATTCACGAACCAACGTATAACAGTAATACTACCAGTTATAAGTTTGCAGAAATAACTTGTCCTGAAAAGTTGCTGAAAGATTGTAGAAATCCTACTGCGGATGATTGGCGGCATTGATTTTTGTTTAAATACCCAAAATGTATAAAATGGACCCTTATTTGATATTTTAAATTATACCAAATTCTGTGAATTCGCCGCGATGCCTAGAAGGCATCAAATTCTATTAATTTAAATATTTTAAATAGAATAATTAATACTGTAT